TGGAAACAAAATATCTTCTATAAGAAATGAAATTTCTTCTGTTGAGGAAAAAATAATGTCTTCTGTAGAGGAGAAAATAAAAGAGATGGAAAAGAAGATAGAAGAACTGGAACATGCAGACCCGGCCAAGGACGTTGAAATAAAGTGCCATGAGGTAGAGTCGAAGTTGAAATTAGAAGGAGCTGTAAACTCTCTTCGTGTTAAAGCCCCAACTTTTGACGGGAAGATGTCTTGGACGAACTACCTTAAGCAGTTCGAAACAGCTGCCAGAGCAAACGAGTGGTCTGAACGAGAGAAGGCAATACATTTAACCATCGCCCTTCGAGGAGGCGCTTTGGATGTCCTTTAGACTATACCCGTGGAAGAGACAGATGATTTCGAGCAACTCAAAAAGAGACTAAATATGCGATATGGCCACGAACACTTGGAGCAGGTATACAGATTACAGTTGAAGAATCGCAAACAGAAACGTGACGAGAGCCTTCAAGAATTTGAATTAGATATTTCAAAGATGGTGCGATTTGCCTACCCGTCAGCTCCAGAAAACATGATGGAATTTTTGGCTGTTCAAGCATTTGTAGATGGACTTCGTGACCACGAGATGCAAAGAACACTTCGTTTAGCCCGTCACAAAACATTGGTCGATGTCTTGTCCGCTGCTCTTGAATATGAAGCGGCTACGCTGGCTTCTGGTGGATACAGTGACGTAAGGACTGTAAAAGAAGAACAGGGAAATAAATTGGACCAATTTTTTCACATGATAAAAAGCCTTATTGAGAAGCAACCGAAGACTATTAGGTGCTGGAATTTCGGTGAAATGGGAAGTAAGCACTTCGCGCAAACGTCCAAAGAACACTACTAATCGAAAAACCGTGCCGGTGGCTATACAGGAAGGAACGGTGTTACCTGAAAGTAGTGAAACCATAAGAGTAAGGCGGTTACAAGGAACTGTAGAGAAGGCAACGCCTGTCATGGCGGAACCTTCGAAGCGCAATGAAGGTGTTGGAAAGGGGTTGGCCACATCTGTTAAAGAAGTTACAGTACGAAGAACGTCGGTTTTCAGCGATGAGTGGGCCCCTGTCAAAATTAGGGAAGAACAAGAGAATGATACCGTTTTAAAGAAGATGCGACAATGGAAAGAGGAAAATCGTCGACCTACTTGGCAAGAAGTATCTAATCTCTCTCCAGTACTTAAGTCGTATTTGGCTCAGTGGAACTCCTTTATCCTGGAAGATGGCTTAGTAAAGAGAGTACTTAAAAATGATGATGGTTCCGAGAACAGAAGACAGTTGGTCATTACAAGAAGTAGAGTAGCTGAAGTACTCCGTCAGTTACACGACAGTCCATCAGGTGGACATCTCGGTGTTAGGAAACCCCTTCAAAGAGTTCGGGAAAGGTTTTACTGGATGAACAGTTCCGATGATGTAAAGGACTGGTGTAAGAAATGTACCACCTGTGCTATGAGTAATGGACCTCAACGAAAAAGGAAGGCTCCCATGAAGCAATATAACGTTGGTAGCCCATTTGAGAGGATCGCCTTAGATATTGCTAGACCATTCCCCGCGACCGAGGATGATAATAAATACATTTTGGTGGTTATGGACTATTTTACAAAGTGGGTGGAAGTCTATGCCATTCCAAATCCAGAGGCCGCAACTGTTTCAGATGTATTGATAAAAGAGTTTATCTGTCGATTTGGAGTGACCAAGGCAGACATTTTGAAAGTCAACTTTTCCGTGGAATCTGTGACAGACTAGGCATGAAGAAAACCAGAACCACAGCATTGCACCCACAATCCGATGGAATGGTAGAGCGAATGAATAAGACCATTGGCAAATATCTGTCAAAAGTGGTTTCAAACCATCAGCGAGATTGGGATCAGTATCTTTCGCTCTTTGCAATGGCTTATAGATTCGCTCTCAATGAATCAACAGGCTAAACATCAGCAAAGGTGTTATTCAATTCTACTTAAAGAAATAAACAAAAGGTAAAAATCCTCAAGGTAAAAAAATAATCATTCATCGTGTATCAATGAATACAAATTATACCACACGTGCCATTGTCATTATCAAATTGTACAAATCATCTCTGTGTAATTACTATAGTACTCGTATGTATTTAAAAAAAAAATTATATTACATAACGTAATTTTGTCAGTAACGGATCATAAACTGATAATAAATCAAATATATATTTTTTTATTTATAGAGATTATGTTATCGATCTTGAAAATATGTACAGTACTTAATATAAATAAAATTGTTTCGTTTTTAACAAATAATGCTATAATCAAATTTAATTTTTTATAATTATTTCAATAACTATTACCAAATATTGTTGGTCACACACCTAAGCCACTGACTACAGTTACGTACCTTCTCAATACTAATTTAATTAGTCACGATATAAAATATACAGAGTGACTATCTGTACGAAATTGATAATGAAATATTAAAATGTAAGAAATTTATAAAAATTGGAAAAAAGTTATACAATTAAATTAAATAATTTGTGAAAATTACTGAAAACAATAATTTGGTTATGCGACGGTTATTAAACAGAAAAAAACTTTTATTTTGTAGGATACCCTTTAATTTTTTCTTTAATAAATAAGAACTTGAAAAACATGTCATAATTTTAACAAGTGAGGCTAAATGGAGTCAAAAAGCCTTATATAGTTGAGTTGTAAACTCTAAGGTTAAGGCCACAAACACATCTGAATTCTGAGTTTTACAACATAAATTGGTATCATTTTTATTACGAATTTCAATTATTACAGGGTGTCTGATTAGTGCGTAATTGTTCAATATTTGAATTTGTGTTATTAACACGCAAACAAAATTCAAATAAAAGTTATATTGATTTAAAAAATACGTATTTTAAAAATATTCTTGGATATAAAGGATGTTGCGTTTTTGTCTGGCAACTAAAAATGTATGTTTTTTTAAATAAAATATCCTGTATTTTGTTTTATTTTTAGATTGGATTGATAATGCTTTATTTAACCCTAGAATGTTTTTAAAAAATATTACAGTGTTGCCAAGCAAATAATTTTTGTTTAAAATTAGAGAATAATGCAGACCCCAAATTAAATTATTATAATTTAAGTAGGTTTATAGTGATCTTAAAATTGTTTAATATACAGACACATGGGATAGTAAGCCAACGAATAGTGGTGATAGAACTGGTTTATTTTATACAGAGTGTCTGGAAATATGTCCTAAATATGGCTAATTTTAGGTTAAATTTGCAAAATTTTTTCAAATGCAACACCCTATATTAAATTTTAGCTTAACATTCCCTATACATTTACCTATCCAACGATACCAACATGTTACGACAATAACATGTATATACCATTAGTGCGTAATTGATCGATAGCTGTTTTATTATTGAAAACACGAAAAAACAATATTATAAAACTTGCATGACCATGTTTAATTAATATTTTCAAATATATAGGGTGGTCCATAAAGAGGGGCTGACCAAACATTTTTAAAGGAAAACACCCTGCAGGTAGTTATACATATTCGATTGTTTTTACATCGTCAAACAATTTTAATAGACTTCATTTATTTGATATGTTGGTATGTCAACATGCGGGGTAACGATTTTCTGAATTTTTTAAATGGAATACCCTATATATTATACCACCAATTAATTAATACAGGGTATTCTATTTAAAAAATTTGGAAAATCGTAACTTCACGTTTTGGCACACCCAATATACAAAATAGCAGGTTGTTTTTATACAGGGTGTTGCATTTGAAAAAATTGAGTAAATTAAACTTAAAATTAGCCATATTTAAGACATGTTTCAAAACATTCTGTATAAAATAAACCAGTTCTATCACCACTATATATTAAACAATTTTGAAATCAATGTAAACCTACCTAAATTATAATATTAGGATAATTTAATTTTGTGTTTGCATCATTCTCTAAATTAAAAAAAAATTAATTGCTTGACTTAAATTATTTAAAGCTAAAAAAGTACTGTAATATTAGATGTTACAGATTATAACAGAAATATTGGTGACAAGTTACAACTGACATGCATGGCAAACATGATTTTGTTAAGATCTTATGTATGCAAAAATGAAAACATTAAAGATAGAAAAAATACGGTGTGAGAAACCTAAGCGAAAGATTTTACAGAAAATCAGGTGATAGGAATTTATAGATCGCTTGACCGTTTTGTTTTTCATTTTATGTTTTTGTTATTAGCTTTATTATTTGTAGAATGTGTACAACCATAATTCGTTCTTCATTAGTCTTGTTTACTGGTTGAACTTAATCATGTTTGATAAAAAATTGTAACCCATTTTGTAATTAAATAATTCTTGTATTATGTTTCAAATAATATTGAAAATATCACATTTTAGGCATTTTTGTTTTTTAATTATTATTTAATTAGCTATCTTGTTTTAATCAAGTAAGAAACGGTATCATCAGAAGTTACATAGCTGATGATATTTTCATAGACGAAACGTAGTAAAATGATAAAGTGTAACATATCGTTGTATTTAGCTATACAAAAGCTATACAAAATTACAGTTAAAAATCCAGGTCCGTATTTAAAAAAATAAGTTGAAGGTGGCCCTGCAAATACGAAACGTCGTAATAAAAATTTTGTTTAATTTTTTTTTGTATCTTTTATAATAACAACGCACGACTTAAAAAACAAAAATGAGGTTTTTCGGATTTTGTCGAATATCTCCGGAACCAGTCAGAAAATCTAAAACTTCTATGGACCATTGTATTGTCCGCCAAAATACGAAACTTTTTCCCCATTTAACCGACAATGTATATCTTACGGTTTACGAGATCTCTGTAAACGCAAATTAAATCAGGTCTACCCTGTATATTGTACTGTTACACCCTTATCATTTTTAAGGTCTACCAATAAAAAAATAATACTCTAGAATTGCTTCCTTATTAAAAAATATCAGTTTTAAATATTTTATCGTTTACTAGATTCCTATGTTAGTACCACTCTATAAATATTTACAATTACAAGGTACTTATCTTATGTTTATATAAAGTTAGATAGGTAGAATGGTAGATAGCTTGATAATTTTAGTATTGCAAAAATGAGTAGATGGGTTGGTAGTGTAGCGCTTGTAACAGGTGCAAGTGCTGGTATAGGTAAAGCTATTTCAGAGAAATTAGTTGAAGCTGGTGTAAAGGTAGGACCTCAATAATAAATATTACCTATAAAAAATTTCCTTAACTTTAATAATTAGACTAGCAGTGGCAAAGTAAAGCATATAGTTGGCGTGTGTTTATATATGACTTTTGTGCATTTTTAATCATAGATTTACACTTCTGGAAAATCCAAAAAACTTATTTTATCAAAAAGTAAATGGAATTTTCCATTCCAATTATAAATACCAATGTATTTAATCATAAGTATTTTTATTCTTCAGGATATGAGGCAGTCCAAAGTTTATTCAAGTTGATTCAATGTTTTAATTATATATCTCTCTTATCATAAGAAATATGAAAAATACTTTGAATAATAGTTTAACGGTTTACTTTGTTGCAAATTAATAAAATACTTTGAAATATATTCAAATCATATTTTAGCTGAAAATCATTCTTTTACAGACAACTTTGAAATTTTACATGTAGAAAATAAGAGCCTTAAATTAAACCATTTAGAAACACTTGAAATAAATAGATTTAAAAATTCAGATAACTTACTAAATGATCAATTAGATATTAATAATTCACCCTCATTAAACCTCTTTCCCAGTTTTCTGTGAGATAATCCCGGTAATGGGCTATCTTATTGTTATTTGATGGATATTATAATTACCTAAGTACCCTTATTTACTTTAAATAGTTAGTTTATTTTGTAATGTTATTGATGTTTTCTTAAGTACTTTGTTTTGTTAAATTATTTTGTATATATATTGGATACCGAATTGTAAATAGTCACATTTGAAAAAGAAGTTGTACTTCGAAACATATGTCATGTTAGTGTTTGTTTAAAAATTTTAATTTTTAAAATAAAAGTGTGAAAATCTACCAAATTTGGTTTTACTCTTTCAAAATATTCAGTAACAACGAAATATATTAAATTATATTATATTTAGTGACTCAGCCTGGATATTTTTTTACCATTGATTTAAGCTTAAAAGTTTATGACAAAAAGTTTGTGACTTCAACTTACTGCAAAATTTTAAGGTTTTATTCTTTCTTTTTTACTGCAAAATGTTAAAATATATTAAAAAATTCTTCATGACAAATATTATATGTTATTGACATTTATAGTTGGTTGCATTAAAGAATATTACATTTTAAACCCAGGATAATGCATTTTATCTCTAGATTTTGTTAAGTTAATATCATATGTTGTATTATGGCGGCTCGTGGGGTGGTTCCAGAGATAACCAGGAGATGTAACTACTAACAAATATCGTGCGGCCGTGAATAAGACATATTCTAAGGGACACAGTAGGACATAATATCCGCTGTTGTCATTGTTAGTAAAGTGTATGTATTAAAATATTCGCTCAAGAAAACGATTCACTTCCCACTCTTTTGTCACAAGGCTGAATTTTTCACAGATGAAAGGTTATGATAAGGTAACCCTTATTCCGGAGTTAATACAAAATTAGAGTGTGCAGAAGGGCATTATCATCAAAAATCCAGATATTGATACCACCGAATAGAGAAAAAAATACTCATTTTTTGATCAAATGCACAATAAAATCTTTGTAGGGAGTAATAATTGTTCATACTTATTTAAAAAAAATCATTTGCATTAGCACTTACGGCCGAAAAAAAATATAAACGTAAATATCTTGGTTTTAGCCCTTCAAAAATTTAGTTAAAAAGTCGTCTTCTTTAAATATACCACTCATTTAACAAAAAACGAAGGCCTAAATGAAAAAAAAACATTCTTTATAAAATTTTTGCTTATGTGTTGACAAGGTAACAGAGTAAACACCATATTTTTTGCTTTTTAATTAACAAAGATATAACAATAAACGATGAGAGATGTCATAGGTTTATGCTGTTATTAATTCTCACCGCCAAATTTATCGACTCTCAGTGTATCTTTCTCTTCACCTTCAAACGTAGCATAGCTCTGTTTCTCTCTACGTGCCGGCTGATGTATCACATTATTGATATGGTAGGATTTTTCATTTTTTTTATTATAAAACTTCTCGTTATGTTCCATTGGGCAATGTGTCATATTGTTATCTGTTTTTACTAAAGAATGAATAAGTGTATGTGTTATATATTAAATTACCTAATAAATTGGGAAAAAATATAGACATTTTTGCATCTTTATTATATCTACATTCATCCTGTTGCAGCTGAATATATTTGGGTAAGTTATAAGTTTTCGTTTAAAATTTTAATTACGGATTTGTTGCTGCAAGTAGCAAAGACAAAAATTATATCAAAATAGGAAAGCCCAAAAGTTGCATATCATTTAAAGAACATGCTCATATATTTGTAAACATTATTTTTAGAAATAAATTTAATGTTCAAATGATAGATGTGGTATTTGATCATTATAAAGGACATTCTATCAAAAATACAACACGTCAAAAGAGAGGATTTCAGAAATCAATTGATATAGAAATTGACCGACCCAATATTTCACTTCCGCAATAATAGAACTTGTTTATTCATTCGATATTTAACAAAAGACACTTAACACATTTTTTGCTAGAGCAACTTCTTCAAAACTCGCGAAAATCAATAAATATGGAAAGAATTTTGAACCATCAAAAGACGATTTTTTAAATTCAAATCACGAAGACGCTAATAATCGTATCTTATTGCACATATTATCAGCCAAAAATTCGGGGCATTCACGCTGCATTATTTATTGCAACGATACATATGTCTTATTAATTTATTTTAAGAAGTTTTTGACTAAAGATATATGGTTCAGAACTGGGCGAGGAGACTCAAGATGATTTCTAGCAGTACATTATTTAAATTTGGATGAAAACCTTCTAAAAAATGTGCCTGCTTTTCATTCTCTGACCGGTTGTAATACAACCAGCTAATTGTCCGGCATTGGGAAAAGAACCTGTTGAAAAACCTACCTTGAACACTATTACTTTTTGGATGGATTTGGCATTGATCAGTACTCTGAAAACATATTCTCTAATCTTGAAAGAATTTTCATAAAAATTTATTCGAAACTGCCAATGTTACTTCCATTAACATTTTGAGGGGATTATTGGCCTCTTCAAAAACCATCGCTAAATTGCCACCGACTGAAGATGCCCTAAGACTACATTGTTTAAGAAGTTTTTTACCAGCTAAATATTTGGCTAACCTCTTTAAACCCAGATGCAGCTTCCTAATGTTGAAGAGTATGGATGGAAAGTAGATCAAGATGGAAGTCTGATACCCACTTTTAAGACTCTGCCCGACCTCCACCAGACATAACAGAACTTACATCATGCAAATGCAAAAAAGATACTATACAATATTCTAACAATAATATTCTGTTCTAGACCGTGGAAGCAAAATTTGCAAATGCAGAAAAAAAATATTTGCTGTATCGGTTCCTGCACCTGTATGGCACAGCCGCTAATGTTTTGGAAAATGTTGATTCGTGTGGTGAATCTGATTCTCTGATTAGTTTGAAAGTCGTGTAATTATAAATTTTAATATTATTAATTTATGCTTTATATACTTCCTTCCAATTATTATTATTATTATTACTATAATTTATTTATATTGGGGATTTATTGTATTTTGCAAAGCAATAGCCTTACTGTTTATAATTGATACTTCAATAAATACCTTCAATAAATAGTTTATATTTTCTCATTTTTCATTTTCCACCAAAAATAAAAAAAATCTTGAAGTAATTAATACACCCTATTATTCATAGTGGATAAATCAATAATCCCTGTATAAAATATTATAAGAGAGTCAAACTGATTGCATTCATTTCAATACTGAGATAGATGCATAAAGAGTCGAGAGGCTCTGCCTTTAATGTTTGTTTTCTAGTAAAACCATGACATCACTAATTGTTTATTGCTATATTTTTGTTAATTTAAAAGCAAAAAATATGACGAAAGTACTTTTACCTTGTCAATACATAGGCGAAACTTTTATAAAGAATACTTTTTTTTCATTTATGCCTTCGTTTTTCGTCAAATGAGAGGTATATTTCTAAAAGAACATTTTTTATACAAATTTGTAGACGGTTGAAACCGAGATATTGACGTTTAAATTTTTTTTTTTTCGATCATAAGGGCTAATGTAAATGATTTTTTTAAATAATTATAAAAAAAATACTTCCTACAAAGACCTAATTGAGCATTAGAACAAAAAATAGCCATTTTTAACCAAATTAGATGTAATTTCATTAAATTAGATGTAATAATTTTCAACAAATTCCAAAACCTAGTGATGTTAGATTGAAAGTGGCAACAGGGCTTACACCGGCATGGAAATTTACGTTATGTAGTATAAGCTCGCGCAGTTATTCATTGATAAAACTACGTAAAATTCTTCACTCTATCCCTTCTCTTACTTCTCACCTTTCGTCGCCTCGTCCCGCGTCTAGAAATAGAATGTATACAGTACGAACTATTGTTGGCACCATGAATATTATATTTTATGAATGACTGCTTATATCTCTGTTATCTCTGGGTGGTTCACAGTGAGAGAATATGGGTAACAGTACAGATGTATGAAAACTTTCAGTGTTTTAGAAATTTTATAATATACCTTTCTAAAACACTGACAGTTTTTTACCTATATCTGTACCGGGATCTATATTTTGCTACTGTAAACCCCCAAAATTTGAAACACAAGCCGCCCCTGATATTATTTTAAGGTTGCTGATATGTGTTATTTTGATATAAGTTTTGTTTCAGTGACACAGACATTAGGTGTATTACCTGTGTTTTTTAAAAATCTCCTCTTTTAAATTCACCGTAAGCAAATTTTATCAAATGGAAACAGGCTACTTTTTATTGGGACACCGTGTATAGTAATATTTAGTAAATGTATCTTGTGTAATTCAATAAAGTTCTTGAACTTTACGCTTGCTTACATTCATTTTGTTAACTTTTTGAAGTTAAACATCAATCCAAAATTAATGACAACTATTTTGATGGATTAAAGAATTTACAAAATCATAGTATTTTCTAATCTAGAGATTCTAAATATCTATAGATAAAATGTATTATCCTGGATGTAAAATTTAATTTTCTTTTATGTAACCCACTATAAGGTAAAATATTTGGCAAAGATAAAGAATTAACTGGAACGTCTGACATTTGAGTTTATTTTTATGTTGCGCAAATTATATACAGGGACATCAATTTAAAAATTATAATTATTTTTAAATTGAACACCCAATTACTCTATCCCCATAGATTTGCTTTCGAAAAATAATGAAAATTATGGCTATTGTAAACCCATTTTATTTAAGGTCTCTTCATCAGCAAATAATACATAATCAACAAAATCCTTAGTTTTGTGCCCATTTACTCCTTTTTCGAAATTATCATCTAATACATTTTGTAATACTTAATTGAACATGGTACAGAAAAATATATTTTTATTTAAAATTCATCACATCAATCCAAATTCTATAACTTTTAATAGAACACTAATTTCATTTTCTTGAGTAAATGAAGTCTTGTGTTTCCTATTATAATTTTGCAATTACTAAATGTCAAAGTCATAGCCTACTTGAGAAAAAAAGGATATTATTTTTAAATTGTATCAATTAAAATAAAAAATTGTCAAATAGTATTTTTAAGGCCTACATTATAATAATATAATTTGAAGGAATAAACTACTTCTATAACAAAAAAGTATTTAAAAAGTTACTGTTCTTTACGATTTTTGTTACTGGTAATATTACTACCAGGCTCAGAAATAGTTGAAGATATTTACAAAATTTGAAACACTTACAACTAAAGAGCGAAATATATGCAAAATGCATATATATGCATTTTCTGCATGTTTTACCAAAGTTCAGAAAATATTGCATATTTTACCAATGTTCAAAAAATTTGAGAAAATTTTGCATATTTAGAAAAAAAACGTATTACTATACTGTGCAAATTAGAAACTGTTTTAACAGAATATACAGATATATTTGAAATAAAGACCTTTTGAATTTTTGGATTTGTTTTTAAGCGTTACTTCTTATAAATTCTTGTTAATTAGTTATTGCAGATTGGCATGCACCGGGTTTTTACCTTCTTAAGAGATTGGGCCCATTAAGATAATTGTTATTGATTTTTACAGATAAAGTATTACCTACAATGCAATAAAACGTTTTATTTAAAATTCCCAGTAAATTCTTTAAAACAATCTACCCTGACATCGAAATGTTTTGGATGTTTTTAATTCAGTTTAATGCTAGAGTTTTGTGCGATAGTATCCTAGATATTTTGCAAGTCTTGTAATAATTTGTTGTTTTTAAAGTATCCTAAAATATCGAGAATCCCGGCCCTGCTGTGATTTAAACCCGGGACCACAGGCCATTTTTAACAAATATGCATTTGCATATTTAGGCATAATTGGACAAAATAGCTGCATATTTTTGGTAAAAACGATGCATATATATGCGCATATTTTGGTAATATTTTGATGCATATATTCCGCCCTCAACTCATAACAATGTGATAAAAAATATGACCGAATGGACAAAATTCATTTAATGAGGAGCGTTATATAACGTGTCGCGCGGCAACTTTCTGACTTTCTGACTTTCTGTCTCAACTGCCACAATGCAACTTTCTGCTCTTAAAACACTGTACATTCAATTTTTACTGAAACTGATTTTAATACAAATACTGTATTGTTAAGGTAATTGGCGTTGCTAGATCAAAAGACAAACTAGATGAGCTTGCAAAAAATCTATCTTCCAAGCAAGGAAAATTCTACGCATTTCGTGGGGATGTTTCTAAAGAAGAAGATATTCTTGCCTCTTTTAAATGGGCAAAAGAGAACGTAGGCTCGATCAGTATCCTCATAAACAATGCTGGTGTAGCTCCATATTTATCTTTTATGGAAACTCCAACTAAAGAGTGGACAAATATATTAAATATAAACGTACTAGCTGCTACCATTGGTGCCAGAGAAGCCATCAAGCAGATGGATGAAAGTCGTATCGATGGCCACATTATCAATATTAATAGCATAGCAGGCCAAAGGATTCTTGGTCAAATTCCCAATTTACACATGTATCAAGCCAGTAAATATGCTCTCACAGCGATGTCTGAAACTTTACGTATAAATCTGGCCCAATTAGGATCAAAAATAAAAATAACGGTAAGTTTTTTTTTAATGAATTGATAGCATCAGATAAAGAAGTCTATTTACCACAGAAACATTAAACGTCATAATCTATATTAAAACTTGGGGTAGCCATGTGTAAGTTAATGGATTAAAGGTAAGAAAAAGAAAAAAAAAACGTGTCCTTTATCTCACAAACAAATCAACACACCTAGTGGGTAAGAAAATAGAGGAAATTGATGAGTTATAAGTTGTTAAAAAAAATTAAAAAATGATTGAATATTGATTTAATTTAAGTGAAATTAACAAAACTAATCTACTAATACCACTAATATTTATTTATTTATTTATACTAACAAAAATTATTAATCATTATTTTCCCTAATTTTTTTTAAGACTATTTATAATGAGAGCTAGGGCAGTTTATTTTTGTAGCCTTCTTTGTACATTTATTTGTTTATAATGCAGAATTATCATATGAAATATTTGTCGTGGCCAAAGTTTTGCTAAATTTACACATTAAGTCGAATTATTCGCGTTGCGGTTAGCTGGGCTAAGTATAAGATCAGAGTTAATACATAAAGTAGCCTTCTCTGTACATTTATTTTGCAATAATATGCAGAATTTACATAAAATAGTATATTCCTTGGCCAAGTTTTGCGAAATTTACAAATTAACTAGCATTTTTCGCGATGCAATTAGCCGAGTTTGCAGTTTATAAGTACAAGATCAGAGTTAACATATAAAGTAGCCTTCTCTGTATATTTATTTGGCCCAAATGCAGAATTTACACATAAAATAGTATCTTCTCAAACAAAGTTTTACAAACTTTACACATTAAGAGGCATTTTTCGCGTTGCAATTATCCGAGTTTGCAGTTTTTAAGTATAAGATCAGAGTTAACACATAAAGTAGCCTTCTCTGTACATTTATTTGGCTTAAATAATTTACACAAAATAGTATCTTCTCTACCAAAGTTTTACAAAATTTACAAGTTGCAGTTAGCCGAGTTTGTTATTTGCAAAGTTTACACATAAAGTAGTATCTTCCGCCACAAAAGTTTGCGAAATTTGCAAATAAAGTAGCATTTTTCGCTCTGCATACGGCTTATATGAATGATGTATCTTCTGTATATTTATATGTTTTTTAAATTCAAAAATGTACAGTAAAGCAGTATCTTCAGCAAGCTAAAATCAAATAAATTATAAAGAAAAACATTCTCAAACCTGTACTAGTATAAGATCAGAGTAAACACATAAAGTAGCCTCCTTTGTATATGTATTTGTCTATAATGCAGAATTTACACATAAAGTAGTATCTGCTCTCATCAAGGTTTTGCTAAATTTGCACATTAAGTAACATTTTTCGTTTTGCAGACGGATTTTATGAATGACTGCACCGTTAACACATAAAGTAGTATCCTCTGTATATTTATTTGTCGTCTAAATGCAGAAATTTACACATAAGTGATATCTTTTACAAGCTAAAAATCAGTTAAATAAAAAGAAAAATATTATTTTCCTACCTGTGCTTTGAATTTCTTAATTTCTTTTTTAATTTATCATATTTTTGAGACGATTTGCGTTTTCGATAGTTTTTAACCATGTTTTTATAATCGCTGGAATGTCGGTCTGAACGATGTGAATCACGCGACACAAAAATTGGTAACGAGTAATTTAGGCAGGCAGGCATATATAATAAATTTTAAATCTAAACATATGGGTCAGTTGCGTAACATAGGTATACTACATGGTTATCTTTATTTCCACTAACAAGGATGTGAAGCATAATTATTTATATTACAGAAATATGTTGTGGAAAATCGTATTTACGAAGTTGTAGCTTATATTTCAGAAATAATGTTTAATTTTTATTGTTTAAATCGTGTGCACTATGGTCTACGCCAGGACTGACAACAGTGATATGCAAACTGTTTTCCTAACTTCACAAACTTTTCTAAAAACTATTTGAAAAAAGATATATTATATCTTTTACACTTTCGCACCTATATTGCAGAGGGACTTCTTGGTTCCAAAAATACGCCTAAACATGGACGAGCATCATCTGCGGCTATTGTTCCTACACCGTTTAATCGGACCGATAACTCTCACACCGAAATACGACCCAGTTTAGATGGGTTTGATCACTCACCAACTTTTGATAAAAAAACCTTTGCATCACGGTGCAAGATGCTAAATTGCAAAAGCAGGTCACATATTCATAACTCAAAATGTAAATCCACCTTTGTATGGGTAAGAAACAAAACTATTTTATGATGCATCACACCAAAAAATAAATACTTTTTCCAGTTAAGTGTGTGTTTACTTTTCCTCAAAAACTAAATAAAGTGTTCAACATAATTATTTAGACTTTAGACGTAGGCTTTGTAACCTCTGTGAGTCCCGATGAACACCACAGTGTACACAAAAAATATTGATATGGGACACCCTCTACATTATTTCAACTATATCCAAAATTCGTCAAAAAAAATTAAAATTTTATCTATTTAAAAGAAACATCAGGACTGAAAGGGTTAATGTTCTAACTGAATGAAAAAGCCGAAAATTAGTAAAAGGTGAAAAAGGAAAAAAAAAGACAAAATGTCTGTTTTTGAATATTGAAAAAAAAAGTATGTTGGAACAAATAATCAACACCAAAATAGTAAAAGATAAAGAAATGACTATATAATGTAATAAAAAACACAAAACTCACCATAATCTCTTATCCACTAGGGATAAAACTACTGGGTTACAATCTTGGAGGAATAGAGACGAAATGAACATTTATTACTTAAAAAAAAAGCATTGGTATTTGTCAAGGGTTAAAAAACATAAAAATATAAAAATTAAAATGTCACATGATAAAACAACGCTACTAAAAAAATTAATTACATTATAAAGTCCAAAAACTGCCAAAGTTTTTAATGTTTACATAAGCAAAATGGAGACTAGCAATGAACATTGAAACGGTTTGAAGGATTCAAATTTTTAAATTATAGAGGTGCTGCCCTCCAGTAGTGGGTGGCCGAAACTAGTAGTTAATGATTTAAAAAAATTATATATATAATAATAAATTATGTATATAATAGTAACGAAAACAACTTATAACTCATTAATTCCCTCTTTTCTTTTACCCACTAAGTGTGCCTGATGATGAAGTAAACAAACTTCGAAACCGGTGGCCATTTAAATTCAAATTTCTTTGTGAGATATATAGGACCCGTTTTCTTTCTTTTTCTCACCTTTAATCTATATTATTCTAATTACATCACAATGTAATATTTTTCTATACTTTTAGTCTATGGGATATACATTTTTAGTAAATAAGCTAGTCGCGTTTTGACATTGGTTTCGTAAATTATTTTATTTATTCGTGATATAATTTATGGAATACATCTTTTGATATCGGGACTATGGATAATCACATAAGTTTAATGAACCAATGTATTATCAAATGATTTCACAGTCATCCAGCCACCGTTGCACAAAAACCCACAAATATTGCTCACAAAAATAAGCATAAAAATCTTTATTTTATAAAAGTTAATAAAAAACATCGGGAAAATAAAAACAAAGAAATATAATGAATATAATAATAAATTTTCAGAACATCAATCCTGGAATGGTAAATACAGACATGGTGAGGCCTAGTATAGAACACATGAGAAAAATGAATAAAGAAGCACAGATAGAGAGGCCAATGCTCGAAGCAGATGATATTGCTGAAGCAGTCCTATATGCTTTGTCAACACCCAAACATGTACAGGTAACAATTTTTATTTTTCTAACATTTTCTGCCAGCTGTTGAAATGGCCACCATAATGGATATTATTTTTAAATATGTTACTAACAACTCGTTTAAGGAAGAAAATATGAGAATGCATTACCTTTAAAACCTCTTTGTAAGTCTCTTAGAATTGCCATTGAGACTAACCCAAGTTATATCATTGACGTATCTGAGCATTTCTGTTAAAAATTCCACCCACTCTTATCAGAAATAATATTTAAGATATTTAAATCATTTTATTTGTTTGAGAGCTTCGAAAGATAATTTTCAATTATTCTGTAACATAATATTTATTTATTTTTCTTTGGTCTACAAGAAACCCAGAACTTAAAATCTTCGGAACTTTTAGTTCTGTCTGTCAGTAAAATGTTTATCTTTTCGTGTTCCTGTAATTACCACATCAATTTTTCTTTTCTTATAATATTGTTACGCAGGTTTTTGGTATCTTAATTTATTTCAATTCAACTTTTACAATAACCGTACAACTAATAACATTAACATATAACGTCTATCATAAAACTCAAAAGTGACGTCAGGACCATCGGGTTATATAGCTTGCGTTCACCTTCTCGAACCTTCTCGAACTGTCTAGATTTTTCTTGACGTGGAATGACATTTCTCGAATATTCCCCCGTCTTCTTTTACTCGTGTCTTTACTTATGACGACCGCAGCACGCTGCAGGGTGCTGCGTAACATTGCTTCCTCCTCTCTAGTTATTGGCCCCGAATAACTTGATTACTGGGACCTGGTTGGAGTCAATGGGAAGGATCTGGACCACGATATGGCGCTAACTACCTTGTGTTTAGTTCCCGCTGACAACTGAATGCGGTAGATCAGGTCGTTGATTTTTTGAGGACGGTGTAGGGACCTCTCCAGTTCCGTTGAGAGTTATGACAAAGTCTTCTTCGGTGTTTCGTATTGCACAGCCATACTGGGTCGCCTCTCTCAAAATGTGTCTTGGTGATACGCATGTCGATTCTAGCTTCTGTCCTGCCATTGCATAAATCACATTTTTTACACCAATCCGCTACATCTCTTCGGCAATTGAACCAATAAAATCTTTTCCGAATTCGTGCCAGTGTCCTTTTAGTACCAAACTGTCCTCCCAAACGGCTGTAATGAAGCTCCTTCAACACACTTCTGACATGTGATTTCAGCAGTACCACTTGGCGGGCTACATGTACTACATCGGGGCTCTCCCACTTTTGGTGCAATAGACCATGGTACCTATTCTTGAATCTCAGGGAGTAGAAATTTTGAGGGAAGAATGAGACAAAAATACAAATTTTGTGCGTTGCAGATAAAGAGGAAAAACCGGGTTTCTACTCCCTCGAATTCAAGAATAGCTACCCATGAAGATTTGTGAGAGGGTAGGCTGGGGAATCGTATTGGTATTGGCATTTTCACTTTCTCTCACCTTTGCGCGAGATCTGGAAAGAAGTTTTACTGCTTCATAATCCTGGGCTGCAATTAGTTTCTCCCTCAGCGTCTTGTGATGTTGTAGACGAAGGGCTTGCTGCATTTCTACATCTTGTAGTCAATCAATGAATGCCTGCATTCCGATTTGTTCTTGGAAATCTTTCGGCGCCTGTGGATACGCCAGATGCATCAATCTTCTTATGTCGGCCTCGAATTCCTGTAGACTCTCATTAGGTTTCTGACTACGAACATTTAGCTGGCTTTGGAATACCCGTTTTAAATGCTGCTGGCCATATCTTGTCTCCAATGCTTCGACGAGAGATGAATAACTGGGTTCTTTTTAGGGAAGTAACTGTAAAACGGTTGCTACCTGTCCTCGCAGCGACACTATCAATGAAGCTGCCATTTCTTTTTCAGCCCAGCCATTGGCTCCAGCTGCAGCTTCAAATTGGAGTCGATACGTTTCCCATGTTGTCTGACCGTCAAATGTAGGTGGCTCTATGGCCTTGCTAGTATGGCTTTGTGAAAATGGGTTTTGGATATGGCTTGGTTCGGTTATAGATGAGGACGAGGTAGTAGTGTGTACAGTTTCTCTATTGCTTATCAAAGCTAAGCTACGACTTGTTCTTCCTAACTCAACTAGTTCAGCTCTAATTTTCCGTTCTAACTCTGTTCTAGCCGTTTCTTGTTGTTTTAAATTAGTTTTTAAATTCTCTTGTTGTTGGGCTAAGAGATCTATTAGACCATTCGGTTGACCTACCTCTTACTTGAGGTTTTCTTGAATTTGCAACAAGCCATTTATAATCTCCGCCTCTACTTTTTCTATGCCTCTCCTCCTTTTTCTCTTCTGGCCTTTCCATCTTCTCTTCTTCGTCTTTCCTGCGCCTTTCCTTTTCCTCCTGTTCTTCCTTCCTACGTCTTTTTTTTATTTATCTTCTTCCTTCATACTACTTTCCCTTTCCTCCTCTTCTTCTTTCCTACGCCTTCTTGACGTGGAATGGCATTTCTCGAATATTCCCCCGTCTTCTTTTACTCGCACCTTTACTTATAACGACCCCAGCACGCTGTAGGGTGCTGCGTAACAATATTAACCATTTTACCCAATTGTTTTTTCTCCCACCACTATTTTAGTCCTAAGAACTTTCACCGTAATAACTTCTCCATTAGTTGGTTCATAATTTGAATACAAGTTAGTTTTAAGGATTTTTTTATTATTCGCATCAGTAGTTATACAACACTTGTTAAGAGGTGGGTGGCTCAGTGGTAGAGTCTCAACCTTTGGATCCAAGGGCCCTAGGTTCGAATCCCACTGTTGGCCGGTGTTTTTTTATTTAAATTATTTAAAATTAATTCTGATGCCTTGGTAGGATTCCTCACTCGACAATTCACTGTTGGGTTCTAATTAACAGTGCGGTTCCTAAAGTGGAAAACACTTATTTTATCAGTCTTTACAGGCCTGAAGATGGGCTTAGTGCCGAAACCGATTGACATGTAATTTATTATTAAAACAAAAAATTGTGTGGGATTAATTTTGAGTATCATTTCTTAAATTTTTAAGATGACCACATTCGAGCAGTTCGATATCCTTCTTCATTTGATTAAAAAACTATTTTCGTTTTGTTGTACTGTTTTTCGATAATTGTATTATAGATTTAATAACTTCAAGAGATTAGAAGGGCCACAAAATATATATTTTTTTATTTTTCCGACTTAGAACCCAGAAAATATATTATATAAACACATTGTAAACTTAAAAGTAAAAATATAAAAAAGATGTATACATGTGTTCACAAAATGTTTAGTTAAGTTAAGGTATCTATCCTTTGTATATATCCTGTTTCCAAGTCTATCCGTGGTCCTCTTGTTTGTCAAAATCGCTTATAAAGACCCATAAGCGTGTATTGTCCCTGTGAATCCTGAAATAATTATTAATAAAAAAAAATAAAAAAAATAAAAAAAAACAAAAAAAATAAAAAAAAACAAAAAAAACAAAGAAAAACCAAAAACAAAAAATAAAAAAAAAGCTGTAATTTGGTAAAAAAAGAACTTGTAAATACTGTATTATATTATTATTATAATTATAATGTAAATAAAATTAATTTGAAAAACTAGACGTGAGCGTATTATCCTTACTATATGATGATATAAAACTAAGATAAAATTTAATCTATGTGGTTTGGCGAATGGACTTAGTTCCCGCAGTCAAAAAATTCAAATAAAAAAAAAAACAGAAAATTGGATTGTTCCGACTGAAAACTCAAAAATAAATTTTGCTGACTTAGAAATTACATCCAAAAAACTTGACTAACATTTACAAAAACTCAAAATCCGATATCTCAAATAATGTTTAAGATAAGAGCAGTGGGTTTAATTTTTATAGTAATTACAATTTTACCTTCCTGTTTACCTATTGCTCTGAACTTTGATACTCAACTTTAGTTCTGATGACAATACAATTATGTATATTTGGTATCATTGTAAATATGTCCGCTACTACAAAATGTGGTAAAATAATAATAATAATAATAATAATAATAACATGGCAAATTTTATAATTATAAAATAGATGCCTAAAACGTGTTATTGCATTAGTACAATTTCGTTAAAATTAGTGAAATAAAATGGTAATAGAGAGATATTGCAAGTTCACTTAAGGTCAGTCACTATTAGCGCCACTCTTATTTTTATACCTGAGCATGCGCAAATCGTTTATGTTCTAGAACTGACTTTATTAAAGATTGTGCATGCCGTTCATTGTAGATGTTTAAGGGTAGCAGATAGTGGCGACATTATAGCTTTCGAGTGCTTAGCTAGGTTGTTTTCTGGGGGGGGGGGTAACACTTTTCACATTATTGGTGAATGCGCAGCGTGTTATCTTAGAATATGGTACCAATGCAACGTCTAGAGTTCATATGTGTATTTCCAGAAAAAAAAGTTTTATAATGAAGTTCTTAATTTTTTATGTATTTCAGAATAAAGTACCGTTATTTTGGAGATTTGTATATCTTAATCAATTATAAAGAAAATCTAAATAAAATTTTTCTATACACGTCCCAGTTTTCAGTCTACAGGGTGATAAAGTGAATTTCATAAATACCTATTTTCTAAATATCTTTCCTTACAGTAAGGACCTTAACTTGAAAATATGTATATGATAGGTAATCGTTATTATTAGTTAACACACTATTTCGATAAATTACCATAACCCATTGGCGTAGAGTGAAGGGCTAAAGAAACAATTTTATTTAAAACTTTTTGAACACCCTACATTTCATAAAACTTAATATTAATAAATATTTCTTACGCCATTTATCACAAGAAAGCGACTTCTGGTTGATCTTTGTAGACTATTCCATTTCCGAGGTGATAGAACTGATTTATTTTATACATAGTGTTTTGAAACATGTCTTAAATATGGCTAATTTTAAGTTTAATTTACTCAATTTTGTCAAATGCAACACACTGTATATTATTTTCGCATAAAATTCCTTATAAATTTACCAACGAAACCAACATGTCCCAATAGTGCGTAATTGATCGATAGCTGTTTTATTATTGGATATAGGAAAAACAAATTAATATAAAAGTTGTATCACCACGTTTAATAATTATTCTTAAATATACAGGGTGGTCCATAAACGAGGGTCTGACCAAACTTATACATTTTTATATTTGTTTTCACATCGTCAAACAACTTAATTATACTTAATTTATTTGCTATGTTGTATATAGGGTGTTTCAAAATGAGGGGTAACGATTTTCTTATTTTTTTAAATGGAATACCCTATATATCATACCATCAATTAATTAATACAGGGTATTCCATTTAAAAAATTGAGAAAATCGTAACCTCACGTTTTAACACACCCTATATGCAACATAGCAAATGAATGAAGTCAATTAAAATTGTTGGACGATGTAAAAATAATCAAAGATATATTACTACCTGCAGGGTGTTTTGCTATACAAAAGTATAGATTTGGTCGTTTATGGACCACTCTGTATATTTAAGAATATTAATTAAATATGGTCATACAACTTTTATATTAAACATTTCTTCGTATTTCTAATCGATCAATTATGTACTGATCTGACACCCTATATATGTGTTTTTGACTAACATATTGGTATTGTTACATGGGCAAATTTATAGGGAATTTTATGCTAAGAGTGTGTTGCGTTTGAAAAAATTGAATAAATTGAACTTAAAATTAACCATATTTAAGACATGTTTCAAAACGCTCTGTATAGAATAAACCATTTGTATCACCTCTATTCGTTAGCTTAGTATTTTATAAGTCTGTATATTAAACAATTTTAAAATTAATGTAAACCTACCTAAATTATGATAATTTAATTTGAGGTCCGCATCATTCTCTAATTTAAAAAAAATAGTTTGGCAACACTGTAATATTTTTTAAAAACATTCTAGGATTAAATACAGTATTCCCAAGCCATTCTAAAAATAAAATAGAATATAGGGTGTTCTATTTAAAAAACATTTTTATTTCTCAGACAAAAACGCAACACCCTGTATATCCAAAAATATTTTTAAAATATGTATTTTTCAATTCCATATAACTTTTATTAAAACTTGTTTGCTTGTCAATAACACAAATTGAAATATTAAACAATTACGAACTAATGGGACCCTGTATACAGGGTGTTTTTTTAATGTTGCGAAAAAATTTAGAGGCGTGCCCCTTGGACGAAATGAGGCAAAGAAGTTCCTATGAACATATGTCCTACGCCTCTTATATTTTGAACTACAGTTATAAGAAAAAAACTAATTTTCTGCGATACATTTAATAGATATTTTTCTGAAAATTGGTGCGCAGTTTCTTTGCTTTCAAAGCCATTTTCCGATACACAATTTAAACTTTTACATTCGCCATTGGCGTTCATATGGGCTTTCAACCGAATATTTCTTAAAAAAAACAGTACGCCACTGGACATATGTTCATAGGAACTTTTTTGCTTCATTTCGTCCAAGGGACATGCCTCTGAATTTTTTCGCAATATTAAAAAAACACCCTGTATAAATTTTAATTTTCAATTTGTAGAAATACTAAGTGACATAGAAAACAGAACACCCAGTATTAATGAATTTATTACAATAATTTTTAGTATACATGTGTCTTTGGGTTAGTTAAGTAATTGATCAAAATGTAAGAAAAATCCAACAGTTGGAAAAAAGTAAAAAATTAATAGTGTGTTGGTCCTCCACGATGTCTTATGCACTCAGAAACACGTCGGGGCATACTCCTAGTAAGATGGTCGATTTCCTCTTGAGGTACCTCATCCCAGGCAACTTTTACCTCATGCTGAAGTGCCGCTAGAGTCTGAGGAGGATGGGGTAAATGGAGTAATCTTCTTCCCATAATGTCCCAGACGTGTTCTATGGGTGAAAGTTCGGGAGATCTAGGGGGGCAAGGCAACAAATCGACTTGATTTTCTTCAAAATGGGTCAACGTAATTCTGGCTACATGTGGTCGTGCATTATCTTGTTGGAAAAGTGAGTTGGGGAGCGTCCGAATATAAGGCAGAACATGTGGTTCCACCACCTCCTGGATGTAACGCACGGCGGTCATGTTGCCTCTGATGAATACCAAAGGTGACCTACTTCCATAAGTAATGGCCCCCCATACCATAATACCGACAGTGTGGTGCACATGCCTTTCCACGAAAAATTGAGGATCTCGTCTTTCACCACGCCGCCTTCTCACCCTTGCACGTCCATCATGCATGCCCAAACAGAATCTGGATTCATCACTAAAGACAATGGTATTCCATTCATGGTCCCAGTTCAGCCGTTCTCTGCACCAAGCCAGTCGATCACTTCGGTGCCTAGGAGTGAGAGGTAGGACAAACTGAGGACGGTATGACGTAAGTCCGAAACTTCTGATACGGCGATAAACAGTTCGCATTGTTATTGGCCTGCCATGTTCTGCAAACGATTGGTCAGCAATTGACCTTGTGGACGTGAAGCGGTCCCGTAGAGCCAAAAGCCTAAGGCGGCGATCTTGGAGTGGGGCCGTTCTTCTGACACGTCCTGTACCTCTAGCTCTTCGTGTACGGCCTTCTTGATTCCATACCCGACAACAAACCACCACCGTATTCATACTTCTGTGCATCCTCGTGGCTATTTCTCTGAAGGACAAACCAGCCTCGCGTAAGTAAGCCCACTATTCGCCCCCTATCAATCAAACTCGCTAAGCTGTAGAAAATTTTCTTGTCTTCTCACTCTAGGCATGATAAACAAATCAAAAAAGCTCTTCACAAAGTATTGTACGACGATCAAATGCGAATTGTAGCTACAAAACACAATTATCGCGTCTTACTTTTTTGTGAGAACAGGACGATAACACAAAAACCACTCTATCGATATGGCTGAAAAACTGATCGTTTTTTATTCTAACTTAAACAAACATATTCCTAGAAATTCTTTGTAATAAATTCATTAATACTGGGTGTTCTGTTTTCTATGTCACTTAGTATATTTTAGATGACAATGTTTGAGAAACTCTTTGTTTTATTGTATTTATTTTATCTTTCTATTTTTGTTTAATATAACATTTAAAAAAATATTGATGTTGACTATGGCTTGGGGAGGGTAAATACCCCCATTATACCCCCCCTTATCCTTGTTTCGGGTGCGCTCGTCGACATTCGTACCAGTGGTTTTCTAATATTAAATATCCTATATCATAGTCATCTAAACCTACTACAATAGTAATTTCTAATACCTTTTCCATATTATACTATTATAGACAACAACAAAAATGAACTAAAATCAAAAATGTTTAAAATTAGGTCAAAAATATGTATAATGACAAGGAATCTAATGTCAAAACTTCAGGATTGCAATAAATCTTATTTTAGCTTGGAAATTATCTGCAATATCTCCCAAATATCACTTTTATTTAATGAGATAACGACGTAAAAAAAGTACAAAGTTTGAATCTTGTTAATTATTATACTTATTTCTTTTAGGTACTTAAAATGTTTCTAATTAAAAATAAAATCTACAAAAATAACCGTAGTTAATTTATGATTGAAAAATAAATTCATTATAGATTTAAAACGCTAATTTGTATTATAATTTTCAGATTCCACAACTCACCATACAAGCAGTTGGAGAGCCATAGTAGATCAAAAATAATGTGAAAAATCATGTTTATTAAATAGTTATTATAAAAAAAATTATAGTATGTTTCTTATTATTATTGTATTTCAATTATGATTAAAAAATTAAAAGTTATATAAAAAAAATAAACAATAATAATCGAAAATTAAAAATGATGGATCTTTGTTGTATAACGCCGTAATAGTATTTTTGGACATAAATTAGGTTATATAATAACCAATTTAATCAAAATTCAGTTGAGGATATGTTATTATGCAAATATTGAATTATCTTATTTAATTTTAAGATATTGATTATGCATATTTTACTTCTATATAAAATATTTCCCAGAAAACTTTTCTCTTTTTGTGAAATATTCATCCCATATATTTCATACTTTAATGTAATTTACATGAAGCGAAACATCTGCTAGAATATGTGTCTGGCATGTTTTCGTAATTCTTTTTTCTTACATATCCGCCAAAAGCGTTTCACCAAGACGCACAGTGCATACAGATATAAGTAGATCAATAAATAGAAACGTCACTGAATGTTGATCTTGAAAATATTTTTGAAGAGAGCATGGAAATGGTAAAACTTTTTTAAAATAAGTCATAAGAATATTAGAACAGTCGAATTTGGAGTTTAAAAAACAACTAACATTTAATTGATAACAACAATAAGGAATAAATGATTTTTTAAAGAAAACGGCTTTATTTTTAAACGCCTCGTAAAAAAATTATACAGAATGGAACAGCATGTTTTAACTTGGACATGACTGACTGGTCTTCCTGATCTTAAAGGAGCAATTACCGAACCAACCGCCTCAATAATGACAGTCACTTCACAATAGCATATGCAGATGACCTGGTCATTCTGCAAACAGGGAATTTTGTCTATCAATCCTAAGAAGACAGAAATGATCATTTAACAAGGAAAATGATGAAAATGGAATTAAAACAAAACTAAACGTTGCAACAGAGGTGAAGTACCTAGGTCTCACCTTTGACAGCAAGTTAACATGGAAATCGCATTTAGAAAACAGTTAAAAACCGTGGGGCGCACCTGGGGTTTCTCCCCCAGAGTCGTCGCATGGACTTACACGGCTATCATACGACCTATGCTAACATACGGTGCAGTTGTCTGGGTACCGAAACCCCAAAAATTAACAGCTATTCGTAAACTAGAACAAATTCAAAGAACAGTATGTCTCAACATAATAGGAGCAATGAAAACAACACCGACTAGAGCCATGGAAGTCATTCTTAGTTTCACTCCCCTTGATATTTACATCAAGGAGGTTGCTCTGATGACAATAACACGCCTCTGCACGGTCGGAATAGAAACTGATGTAGGATCTGGTGAGCAGTGTTGCCAACACCCCGCTTCTCATTCCCGCTGGATTGGTATATAAAAACCGCTAGAATCCGCTAAAAGCACTGAACTCCCCGCTAAAAGTGAAATTATACTTAATACAGCGACAGTGTAAAGGGATATTACCAAAGTTAATAACTCTCCTATAGAGATGACAAAAATCACGCTCGAAAGGGCAACAAATGAATGATAAAATCATTAAAATGTTCACTTGTGGCAGTGATCTACTAAAAAAGACAAGAACTCAAGAACAAGTCACAAATATATTGTATATTGTGTGTGCACAAGATTTATTTTTCTATCAATTTTGTTTAAATTTTTTCAAAAATTAAAACCGTCAAAAAACCGCTAAGCCGCTAAATAAAGTTTTTACCCACTAAATTGAAAACAAAACCGCTAGATCTAGCGAGAAAACCGCTAGGTTGGCAACACTGCTGGTGAGGCGAGACGTTATTTTTGGCAGGAGGCGCTCGATACGCTCCCACTGCTTCAAGCAACATGGACTCCATCTTCATCTATCCAGAAAAGATCGGAAGCCTGCATCTGCCTGAGGAAGAACAGACTACATATTGTAACAGGGATCCTTACCAGGCATTGCCGACTAAAAGGACACCTAACTAAACTGAGAGTAGTAGAGGGTAGTGAGTGCAGATTCTGTGAGGAGGAGGACGAAACCTCCATTCGCATACTAACTGAATGTGTAGCTCTCCAGAATCCAGAATCCAGAATAACTATATCTAGAAGGATATCAAATAGAATAGGGAGATTTACCTAACTTGAAGCCACTTCAAATCCTACACTTCCTTAAGAAAATAGGATTGGAAGGGTCGTTATAGGCATTGAGACATTTCCTTGGTGCATTGGCGACAGAAGGTCGCAGTGTATTAACACCCCATTCCCAACATCCTTCTATACAGCAACTGGCACGGTATTATCCCCAAATGAAAGTCATGTAAGTTCATATACATCCATTCCTAGTATAACATCTTTGATATCAGCGACAGTAACAGTATGAGTGAACTTTTCTGTACCAATTCCTAATTGGACCTGGATTTCCCCATGGATGTTGGCACTTTTATTTATGGCAGTCTGCAGTCGCAACCTTGATGGCAATAGTCTCTTGATTTATAATTTACTGGGAATCTAAAAATCTATGTAAAGAAACTATTTTATTTTTGTATTAAATATTATTTTTGTGTTTCTATCACACACTGTATTACTTATAAACATTTTCTCGTGTTTACTGTAACAAAGAAGTGATCAGAAGCCATTATCTAACTATGGTAATACATGAAAATACATGTTATCTTAGTAACTGATATTCTCCATTATATGTCTTTATTAAATTACTAGTTTTTATTGCATTATAATAAAACTTTACACTCACAATGCGCCATTGGATGCGAAGATTTTTTCAGAACAGAATGCACAATAAGTTTCTTGTATTTCAACAACTGCCAACTAACACGGTCATTTAAACTTCGAATCTGTTCTTGGAAAAAGCCAGAAAAGTTTATTTGAGAGTTTGCATCGTTACGAAATTATAGATTCCGAAGTTGTCTGGCAAAACTGAAATTTCTTGTGAGGAATTTCTTGAGTTATTCTAGAAATTTTCAATATACACACGACTTTTTATAGGTAGGGCACTTTACCACATTGCTACTAACGTATAGTTTTGAAAAAAATTAATAGTAATATTTTCTAAATAAATTTTTTGTCGGGTGCTAGGATAAAAACCATGTTTAAGAGTTATTGCTCCGTTCATGAAAACTAATTTGTCGACCTATTACTCCTATTATACCCCTACCTTCAAAATTCCAAGAACGGGTCGTCCAACCACATTTCCCCTATCATAGGAAATGGATCGGCGATTTATTTAGTTATACCGGTGAATTGCAGATTTGAACGTATTTAGTAAAATTTTGAGCCTAAAAGAGAAAGTTATTTGTGAATTTTCCAATAAAACTAAGAAAAGTAGTTAGTCAAAACATTCTTCGTTTAACATCTGTTACGAAGGCAGTTTCTTATAGAAAAGAAAATAGTCTTAGCACTATTAATAACGTTTTGCTTTTAAAGAAAGACATAGACAATGCAAGTTTTCACGTTTTTGGTGATCATAAAAACTGCGATATTTATTTTTGTCAGAAGCATACAGATGAAACCAAAAACAAAATAACTAATTTTAGATCTAAACCTGAATTTTTTACAAGACTTCTACAAATTATACATGCTTTGTCAGATCACAGCAGAAGTCTATTACATGATGTTGATAGTAATATTGTGATACAATTTCATGCGACAGTCGCTAAGTTTGTAGGTGGCAATAGAATCAATTATTCCAGAGGGCGCTTTTACCAAAGTAGATGTTTTGCAGCACTTGTATCATATAATTCGAAATCGGGAAATTTAGAATTGAAAAAAACTTTAAACTGTACTAACCAATCCATGTTAGTAACTGAATTGAAAAATAAAGGCGACAAATGGCAATAAAATCAAAATCTAATCGCAAATTAAAAAAAAATATTCTGCAAAAACCAATAAAACTGATTTAGATTATGGAGAAAATTGTACCAAAAAGGATTTAGATCAAGATATTTATGAAGTAAAAAACTTCAATTTTTAAACGAATTCCCTTCATCTGACGTTAAGAGAAATGTAATTTAGGAACAAACTATGTCACAGGCGGATAGCAGGGTTTGGCTTGAAATTCGTAGAAAAATGATTACGGCCTCACACTTTAAAGCAGTGTGTACTAGACAAATTACTACTTTATGTGAGCCTTTAGTCAAAAGGATTATTTACCAACCATCAGTCAATGCTGCTCCTATTTCTCATGGCAAAAAGTATGAAAAAACGGCACTTTTGCAGCTTCAAGAGCAGGAAAATATAGTGATTAGAGATTGAGGAATTTTTATTGACAAAAAATATCCATATTTAGTAGGTACGTAACGATCAGTTCACATTTTTACTCACATCTCAACTATAACATATTGCAAATTAATTCATTTTAAATCAAAATAATAATTTTTAAATTTGTAGGTGCTACTCCAGACGGCATTGTAGGAGATAAATTAGTGGTTGAAATAAAATGTCCCTACGCTGCATATCAAATGCAGGTAGAAGAGGCGATTAAATTGAAAAAAATACTCTTTTGGATTTTTAATAAAGACACCAATAATTTTGACATTAATATCCACCATCAATGGTATTATCAAATACAAGGCCAATTACATATTACAGGACGAAAAGGATGTATTTTTGGTGTATGGACAGGTCCCAATTATACACTTAAAGTGGAATATATAATAAAAAGGGACAATTTCTGGTGTAAAAATATGGAGGAGAAATTAAAAAAGTTTTATATAAACTGTATGTTGCCAGAATTGGTAGATCCAAGGCATAATCGGGGAATGTCATTAAATTCTCTTAATGTAAGTTCGGATCAAACCTTTGTACAAGAGCCAATATCGCTGTTTTTTTATTATTTAAGTTTGTATTAAGTGTAGTTATCATTATCAACATCATACTGTTTTCAAGCACTACAACTATTAATAAATGAATATTTTAGTTAGTGTGATATTTGTTTTGTTTTTAATAAGTTGAAAACCATCTATAAACATTATTAGTTAGTAAACTGACTTTTGTGTTTGTGACCGGCGCGCCAATTAATGTGTTCTTTGAAAGTTTGCAGGATCTTTTTTTTTTTTAAGGTGAAGGGGGGAGAAAAAGTCCTTTATATCTCACAAGGAAAGTCCAATGTTTAATT